TGAAGTAATTTCCTAACAGATCAATACTTGATCATCAATAGATAATGGTCATGAGTTTTTCGAATTCATCTAAAAGTTGTAAAAAAAAATGAAATTAAAAGTATTTACTCTTATTGTTCCCATGAAAAATAAACGAAGCGATTAGAATAAGAAAGAGTAAGACAGAATATTTATTGAAATATAAATGTATGTACTAAATACGAGAACAACACGTTTTATAGTTTGGTTGTTCTTTGTCCATTTTTGTCCACAAATGAATAGGCATTATGTACAATCTGACAACAATTTACGTCCGATATGTTGGTAGATTATGTCTTACACTATGTTGCAATTAGAATTGTTCTCTTATTAGTTGAATATAGTTCAATCAATTTTGATTTACACAAAACGCTGAAGAGCAAAAAAAATTTCGTTGAGTCGAGTAATATCTGAATGCTGATCCATATACTAAGGAATATCTAAACAGAGTCGTTAGGGATAATATTTTCTTCAACTTTAAGTTGAGTTGTGATTTTGAAAATCCTACGATTTCATTCGAATTAGTTTGCATCTCATCATCTTTTTTACGATTAAACCCACAAGTTTTTTTCTTCTTCCTTTAAACACTTTTCATTAAAAAAAAGTTATATTTTTCTTTTGCATTTTGATCAAATATGCTAGCAGTTTTATATGTCTTGAAGAAAAAAAACATCCATCATTGTCGGCTGATTGTATGATAGAAGTACTTTGATCGCTTTGTTTGTAGGATCATTATATTTTTTGTGTCTTTCTGCTATCAGCGTCATTCTCTCTAGTTTCACAGCCTTCAGTGTACCCTATTGATGTATAAAAATATAATCAGTCCGATAGTCATATACACTTTTACTCGAATTTACACATACAATTAACTCGATGTACGACAACTGTTGAATGAAATATCATCTTTTTTTTTTGAGAACTCTCATTCAGTTATACAAATTTTTGCAGTGTAAAGACTGTAGTTTTTGTTTCTGATTTGCAAAAATGTCTTATTTTTTGAGTATTATAATGCAGGTTAATCGATTATTAGTCGAAGAATATAAAACTTGTTCATGTTGATTTCGCTTGTCTTTGATGTTTTCCTGTTGTCGCTTTTTACATGTGACATGAACGAGATAAGGTGAATCGCAAATTTGATTTTATCTTTTGGATTAGACAAGAAATTGTATCATTTGAAATCTATTTGAGAAAACGTTTATTTCGGGATCAAATTTATGCTTATATCGATGAAAAAATAGAATTATTATTTCATGTAATGTTTAACCTTTTATATAGGTATTTGACAGACTTAAATATGGTCTACCTTTTATTAACTTAATTATTGCCAATATAATATGACTTCATCTAAATTAAATGTTTATAGAAAATGAAAAAATTAGTTTAAATATAATGTCAAATTTTTAATTTTATGGTCAAACGAGGTTCCGACCTTTAAAAGAGTTTATATATCAGTCGATAATATTCAAATACCAGATTTTCAAATATGCAGAGGTGTGCTCAGAAACTTCTACTATTATATGAAATAAACGTGACTTTTTAAACATTGCATTCGATTGCAAATAATTTATCATTAATCTATTTGTCATCACCATACTTGAAATTAAAACTGATCGAATTAACATTCGATTTAAATTTTCTAGTTAGAATGGATTAACTTTTTAATCGATATACTATTTCCATTATGCCTATCAAGTATCACAGTTGCATAAGGACCTAATACGAGAAAAGTTTCGATCTTAAATTAAAGTAAAACCAATACTTATAGTGCAAAACATAACTAACTTATTTTTTTCATAGCTTTTGTTTTGAAAAATATTTCGGGTGTGGGTGTTGATAAATAGTATACTCACACCCACACCCACCTCATCTTAAAAATGTGTAAAATTTACATTTTTGTCTCTGGACTTCATTGTGATAATTAATCGAAAGCAATAAATATTATCGTAGAAAAAATTCACAACAATTGATATAAAATAACTTTTCTGTATTTAATACTACTTTACAGAATATTGCTGAGGTGCCAATATATTAGTGAAAAGTTATTAATCATTTAATATTATACATGAAATGTACATGATTGTAGAATTGTGACGAATGCTTGTTAGTTCTAGAAGGAAAAGTAGAGCATTATAATTATTATACAAATATTATCATAGCTAATAAACATTGAATTAATTCACTTCCGCTATGAAATTTATTTCCTATCGATCTTATTATTTCTCCATTTCGTATACCGCTGACAAATTCGAATAAAACTCAATGCAAATTATCACAACAAGACTCAAACTCATAAATGCAAATATTAACGACCATTTGCTAGTCTGCACGAAGTTATGATCATTGTACTGGATTTCCGACCTTTGACTTGACATGCATGGAAGAATCAAATTGTTGAATTTTAACCTGAAATTTTTTCCACAGATAGATCTTGTAGTCATTAGAATGCTCTAAAAATTTCAGCTGAAAAGTGTGTTTTCCTCTTGAAAAATCAAACTTTAGAGACACTCAATTTTCTCCCAATTCCTATTGACACATGTTCGTTTTCTTTGATATGCAGTATCTCAAAAAAAGATTTTTTGGGGCTGAAATTTTTCAAGCATTCTCATGACTATGAAACCTATCTGCAGAAAAGAAATTCAGGTTAAAATTCAATAATTTGATTCTTCCATGCATGTCCAGTCAATGGTCGTTAACATTTTGTATTTGTGAGTTTGAACCCTGTTATGATAATTTACACTAGGTTTTATTCCAATTTGTAACTGAAAACACAAACACCTTCATTTTTAGTGATTTAATTTCTTTACTTAAATTATCCTCATTAATTATCATTCCTATTGATGATATTTGAAATAAAAATAATCTTTATCTTCAAATATTTTGTTTAGTTGTATTAACATATTGTAAATTATCATGACAAAGAAAAAATGATAAATCTAAATCACTGCTAATAGCTACTAACCAATACAGTTCTATCGAGTATCTTATTTACTAGAAAGAACGCAGAGAGTCATTATTTTCATCACTCGACAGAGAAATTGTTGGTCGTAAAACTGTTTCAAATTTAATTGATCAGCCAATAATCATTCGCGCAAGTTTTTGATAGACACTCCTGAAGGTGACATTCTGAAAATAATTCAGGCAGGTGATGAATAAATGTAGCACTCCAGACACCCTCTAGAAATTCATTTACATCCGTTCATACACAGGTAAATACCTGACATGAGTCACTATCAATAAAGCAAGTAGATCAGGTTCTGTTGGTATCTTTCTTATTGGTCGAAAGATTTGGATGTTTTCAACATAAAAATGAGAATAATTCAACAGCTCGCCAACTGCAATTTCAACACGATATATTCATCTATGAGAGGTGGATATGAAAGCAAAAATGTCATATTGATTGTCATTGGCATATCCACAGTCAATCTCACCCACATCCAATCGTTACCTTCATCTTCAAGATACATAGATATTGAGGTTCAATGAATTGTTTTTATTTTTAATCTTTATTTATAATACAGAGAGAAATGAATGAATGAAAAAAAAAGCAAATGATTACATCGAAGAATTGTTCAATTATTTGATGGTTTTTCTTTTCTGATATTGAGAGATTCGAGAGAAATAGGTTCTAGACCAAGAGATCGTAATGCATTCTTTCCCATCATCTTTTCCTCTTCCTTTTTATACTAAAATGTAAAAAAAAAACATTTACTTTCTTTGAAAAGAATTCATTGAAATTTTAATTTCAAACTTTTTCGTCGGCGTCAAACAGACCCGGTTTGGATGTATCATTAAAAAAGGCTTTATATGATTCATTTTGTTTAATTTTTTGTTGTTGACAGTGTTGAATTTGTTGTTGAGCAGCAACATTAGATGGATTAATCTTGAGAGCAGTTTGAAAATCTTTGATCGCTTGTTCAAAATTCGAAAAATTTAAATAAACTTGACCACGACGGAAAAGACATTTTTCATTTCTAGCATCCAAAGCTAATGCATTATCGCG